TCTGTAAACAGCGATTTTCTCATTCTCACATCTCCTACGCTGATACAATAGACGCCCTGGCAGCCACTACCCTATCCATTAAAAACAAAAACAGAGGAAGGGACAGAACGCTGCATCAGTGGAGACCAATGTCAACGCTGAAAGGCTTCGATTTAATACCATTTACTCTGACGCAGCACCTGCTAGCAAAATACAGTGGTTGGATGGTCCTTAGCAGCTGGCTGTCTGTGCCGCATGTTCGCAGGCATGACCACAGACTGTTGCGGGGGATCCGGTCATACACTTTTCCTAAGTCAACAAAGCTCATGCAAACCGCAGAGCGAACTCCCACTATTTCTCAACAATCCGTTGTTAGCCAAAGATCTGATCGGAGATGCTTCGACCCGACCTAAAGTGACACCGCTCTTCTTATGTCTTCGAGTCAGTTATTCCGCGCCTCCTTTCTAGCACCTTTACGTAGACTTTACCCACCAAGCTCAATAAACTAATGCACTTATAATTGGAGCACTCCCTGTGGTCTTCCTTCCTGAACAGAGATACTGAAACCCCGTTCTCCAGTCCATTGGTGTCTTCCCGTGGCCACGGCGGTTCGACAACTACGTCTTTGCTACCAAGCCATCTCTTGAATGCAACCTTTTTCTTGCTGGCAGCTTTCGGTCCAAAAGAAATTTCGTTTCTGACTTTCAGGCGGCAGCCAAACCAGACGTTGTAAGTTTTAGCATTCGGCAGCAGCCCCGAGCAATCCGCTCTTAAAAAGTTTCTTTCGATTTCCACGCCAGCGGTCATCACCAGGATCGTTCAAACCGTCATCAATATTGCTTGCAGGTTTTGCCTTTTCCCGCAGAAGATGCTTTCAATTTGGTTCTATGATTCATTTTGTCACCCGGCCATCGCATGGCATTGTTGTTATTGTTTGTTGTCCGTTGTTTACAAAGGAGGTTGCCAATAACGAGGTGATGATCGATTAACAGTTTAGCCCCTCTCTTACAATCATCACAGAGCATCATAACACCGACGATACTATTGTCAAATCCATCATTGCCTCTGGTGCACCAACTTCCCTATTCCAGGTACAGTAATTCAGTTTCGATGCTCGAAGAAGGTGTTCATGATAGACAGCCCATTGTTAGCACGATACCGCAAAAAATTCCTAGTATTATTGTTTAGATCGTTTGGGCTGTTCCACCGAATCACGCCTTTCCACTTATAGGTCTCTTCCCTGCCATGCGCATCGAAATCGCACGTTAGAATGATCGATTATCCATACTCGACACCACCTACCGAACATCTGCTACCTCTTCCAAAAAGGACTCATAATCTTTCTTCTAACTAGTCACAGAGACTATTGTTGGCGTCTAAGCCTTAGCCTGTTGTAACTTCAGTCAGAAAATTGCCGATCTTCCGCTGACAGGCTTCCAATCATTGATTCTATCATCCGGTTATTTTCTGCCAGAACACCAGCACCGGTCTGAGAGAGCGTCAAGACGTACCTGAGTAGAATAGCTTCCATCTGCAGAGGTTCAGGATTCCAGAGCCTTTGCGCTTCGTTCACGAGAGTTCAGCAACATCGAGTTGGTACTTCATGGCCTCATCAACCAGTTCTTGTTCTTTTTCTCTGAGTGAGGACATGTTCCAATTTCCGAATTTTAGCTGTCACTGATGGTGTCATTCTCGTGGAGCCTTTTCTGATGTGCAGTAATGGCATTGCGCTGTCTGCCTCCTCCGTTCAGAACGGGTTGCGACTCCGTTGCTGATTGCTCCGTCGATCTTCGTCAGGCATTGTCGTGCTCCTAAACCTCGAGCTGGCGGGAGATGATGAGCAGGTTCTGCTCTTCAGCTTCTCGCAGTCTTCCTGAGTCCCCCCCCCAACAGCCTGCGCGAAACTGGGTAACCTGGGCGACCATCGAGCCGGTATAATTTTCGATGACGTCAATATCATGCAGGACAGGTGGATAAGTTTTAAGGAGACTTCGCCACGGTCTTAAACCCTTCTCATTTCTCAACGGGGCTAGGAATAGACAAAGACAGTGTTATACTACTATGTATGCATTATTATTTATACGGGTTTTCAGCGGTTCTTTGTTCCTCTCAATGTCGCGTAGTAGCCGTTTGTGAAAATATGAAATTTCAATACGCAAAATTAATTTGAAGCATGGAACGTTTCAATTCCATGACCAATTTTAAGTTAAGGGTAGGATGACACTTGTGTAACCTCCACTCCTTCACGTGCATTGCCTAATTTGCACAAATGATGCAGATGGCTTCACGATTTGAATAACTTCTGCTTACACTCTCTAGACTTTGCACGTAATGGCTTTTAAGTGAAGTCAATCTTTATGTAGTGAATGCGTTTTAGCGGCCTGAATCTTAGAAAGAAACTATGAGGAAACTAAGTTACCAATATTGGTATAAATGATTTAGTACTAAGATCCTTGCATGTTTAACTATGCGGATTTATATGCATAAAATCATTATTTCAAAAGGAGCAATTAAATCAGTAACAGAAGGAATACTGTCAGACAAAACGGCCAAAATCCAAGTGTGCAGTAGTTACAAATAGCAAACAAATTAGATGATCCCTCTTCATAATGAACGAGGATCATCGATGCTTATTCTCTATGCCCATGTTCATCTATTTTGGGCGATTTGTCCCCATAACATTCCTACCTTTCTTTTAGCTCATTGCCCAATCTGAGTTAATTTCTTTCAATTGGGCGAACCAATCAGTCACTGTCGAAGTTCATCTATCCTTTGTGCGACGTGACCTGCCAATTATCGCCTTTTTCATTGTGAAACTGATAGTATGTCCATTTGCAATGTCATTCATGTTCTTATTTATTCATTTTGCAGGTTTGGCTTAATGGAAATTCCTAGCATCTTTCCTGCATAGAACGCTGCTACACTCTTAAGAGTTCTTCATATCTCGCGACTACAGAGAACAGTTGGTAATGCAGTGTTTTCATACACTGTATTTCCGATGGCAGTTGATAATTTTATGTTTTTAATAATGCCAGCGTTTCTTCTGCATGTATCCCACTCTTCAAGAGCTTTGGATTAGGGAGTGGTTCGATTTGCTGTCCCATGTAGAAATACTTGACTTCTGTAGGTAATGGCCTCCGTGGTTAACCAATGATTAGTAATTAGCTGGTTAGGCGAATTCGATTCTCATCATTTTCGTCTTAAGTCCAACTTGCTTGCTCTTTAACTCTATTTCACATAACATGGATTCATCTTGTTTGCCTTCCTCCCCAACACCATGATGTCGTGAAGAAACCGAAGATGAGTTAGCCGTCTAACATTGATTAAAAATTCTCCGTCGCATTTGACTTTTTGGAACACTGACTCAACGCATACGATAGACAGCTTGGGCGAACTCCAGTTAAAACCTTCCTTTCAGCTGGATGTTTAAACAGCTGAATCTTAATGCTGCCGTTGGAATATACTTCTGGCAGTGTTCAGAATGTATACTTCTTCAGTTCCTTGCTCTTGCGATGTGAGGAAGGCAAGTTTGTTCTTCACTGTATCGAATGTTTGTTCCTAAAACGGAATCTACGGTCGTTAGACTTTTCGAGCAGCTAATTAAAATCGGTCGAGTTCACAAAATTTGGTGAAATCGGCTGTTGCTCGTCCAACTTCTTGCTTAAGCGATTTAAGATCCTTTCAGGGATGTGAGGATTTCCAGTTTCTTTGCGTTTTGCCTTGTTAGAAGTATCTGATAGACTGTTTTACCGTGACACCGTTTAACCTGCCCCCTTGTTCGAGAGTGTAGCCTGAAATATGTTTTGAGTCCTTCGCATTTTCACCGTTAGTCTGAGACAAAACCTCAC